TGATAGCGAACTCGCGTTGGAGTTCCCGACAGAAAAACTCCATTTACTTGTCGTATTTCGGTGTACGATTCTTCTACCGATCGTAAAGTTGGTGTGGGAGCTCACTCGTGAAGGCGTGCGTACCTCCATTGCCAGCTGGCAGCCTCTATATGGAACAAGTTCAAGTGAAGGTCGGAATTTTTTTTTCTCATTTTCCGAAATCCGTTTTTCAACTCGGGGCATGCGGATTCAACTCGGATATGAAATGCAACTTTGTAATATGCACTTCTGATTGTAAGTTGTTGTCTCTATCTACCTCGTCTTCTGTATCTATAATCAAGAAAACAGATAAAAACGATCATAATTACGTTTTCATTAAAAAAAATTGCTAGACGGTAGCTCGTTAATTTCATCAGTATGCGAATACGTCGAAATGTTCTGGGAGCAAGTTAAGGTGATTAATTTTTTTTCCGATTAAATTAGAAATTAACATTTTTATTTAATTTAAAAAAAATAGTAGTATAAAAAAACTCTGCAGGAAATTCTTGGGGACAGCGAGCGAGCAGCGATCCAAACGCAAGGGTCGACCAGCAATCCGTTTGGGTCGACATTTGTATATGGATACCCAAATGCCGCATTCGAGGTGAAACGATTTATCTCCCGATTATTTTATTTTATTAAATTATTTATTCTTTTTTGTTTTTTCCTAATTATTAAGTAACTTAATTGTTTTACAGGTGATGACAAATGGTTACATTGCAACTGTTACTCTTTTCCAGTCATAATGATATATGCAGATGGGGTTTATGAGAAAAGTCCTGGGAAAATATTGTTTTCATCCCTTAAGTTTGCACTGATTTCGCATTTGGTCCTCCATGTTCATAAAAAACACATTTGGTCAATCATGTTTCAAAAATTCAACATTTTTAGTCATTTCCGTCAGTTTTCTGTTAAAAACTAACAGAGTCAAACGTGTGTCCATCACTATCTTAAATTGACGGAAATAGCCAAAAGTGTCAAATTATTAAAATACGAAGGACCAAATGTGAAATCATTGCAAACTTGAGGGATGAAAATTATAAATTTCCCGAATATAGAAAAAAAAAAATTAAAAATAGTGCACATTTTATATATAAAGAAAGTGATTAATTTATTAAACTTTGGCTGATCTAATACATGATGTAAACGTTCAAATATTTCAAAGTCTTTTAAAATTTATGAGGATGAATGTAAATTGGGATGTGATAAACGTCGTTTGAGCTTTAATAATACCGTTTTGACTTCAAACGTGATTTTGATCATTTTTTATTCCAAATGTTGCAAAACCCGAAGAATAGGATTTGTAGTATTATTAGTTAGTTTTCTAATTCAACTTGAATCACCAAAATTGGATGTCGGACGAGAAAGATATATATGAATCAATGGATACTGTCCACAACTTTGATGTATTGAGGTATATAAAATTCAAAATGTGACTCATTCATGCACAACTTTGTCACACGGCATCCAATCTAGTGGATTTAAGTTGAATTAGAAAACTAACCCAAAGGACTACAGTTTTCGTGTTTCGAATTTTGCCAAAATCAAAATAGAAATATGTCAAAATCAGATTTGAAGTCAAAACGATATTAGTAAAATTGAAGATTATGGTCCGAATTATTGGAAGGTTTTTTATTTTATTTTTTATGTTTAAAGATGTCTATTTATTTCTTGTGATTTTGTGTATCGTGTTATCTATATGCTGAAATTAAAAAAAGTAAATAAATAATAATAATCGAAAAATATGTATATGTAGGAAAAGTTCCAGTTTCATTCATAATTCAAATAAGTAAATCCTCAAATGGTGTCTATTAAATATTAATTGTTGTGATTTGTTGCAATTATGCTGGGACTTGAACCCGGGTCTCTCGGGTGAGAGCCGAGTATCCTGACCAACTAGACTACAACGGATTTGACGTTCCTTTTAAGTAACATTATATTACTTAACCACATTTTTAATTTGAGCTTTAATGTTTGAGCATGATTTGGTTAATAGTTGAGTCTAACCCAAACGAGCTTTAATCGAACTGGACAGATAAATGTGTTCAAATTTTGTTCGATATATTTTGAACGAGCTTTTAACAATCAATCTCAAATAGTTGATTTGATTTTCGACCCTCCCTCGCAATGATTCAAATGTTCTCGTTTTGTTTTTTTCATTTCAAGAAACTATTATATGAAAATGATATTTTTGGCAAGTATGTTTGAAGCTGGTGGCTCTCCTTTGCAAAAACTCGACCAAGAGAAATTGATGAACATAAGTAACAAATTCAATTTGGACCATTTTTTATATGTTTTTTTCAAAGTAATTGTCTGGTTCTAAACATTGTTACTAATTTATTTAATTTTTTTCTTTTTTCTAGGCCTCACCAAATAGAAGAGACAAGAATTCTTGGCAAGTTGTAATGATTTTTTATTAGGCAGAATTATTTGTGGAAACAAACATTTTTATTCAATGCTAAAATGTGGACATTGTGTTATAAAGTTAAGGTTTTTGTTTTTCGAGTTGTTTGGGGTATAATTCCACTTTGCACCCTTGAAAATAGAGTATTTACCACTTTGCACCATTGAAAGATAATAAAGCATTTTGTACTCTCAAAATATAATAACAACATTCATAATGCACCATGAATTGAATAATAAAGACGGTTTTTTTTTTAAAAAAATTCAGGGTGCAAAATAACATATGCATTGTTAATTTATTCAGCCTCCAACCTAATTTCAAGCGCACAAAGTGCCAAAAAATAAAAATCACACCGCATTACTGAAAAAACTATATTTTCTTCCAAAATAAAATAAAATAAACTTTTATCATTAAATTATTCGATTCATTGATATTTTATTGTAATTGGTAGAAATATTATATTTAAATATTTTGAAGAAAAAAAGATTTTCAGATAATTTGATAACGGAATAGCTGAAGAATTTTTATTATTATTCAAAAAATATGTTTTTCGTGATAAAAAATAGTTTATAAATATGTTAATAGCTGAGGGTGTAAATACTATTATTTTATTTTGAGGGTGCAAAGTGAGATTAAACCAATTGTTTGGTTTATTATTAAGCTGAGGAAAACCACAAAAAATTAAGAAAAAAATAAATTGAAGGATATAGTTGTGAACCTTGTGTTAATTTACAGCCAAGTCAGAAAGTTATCATCCCACGTGTCACAACCCAATTGGCCACTGGATTATAGCCTCAAAACGTATATCTCTCTCTCATCTCAATCAACTATATAACTCTTAAAATTAGCAAACTAAAAAAGGTAGCCACATAGAATTTTGTTATCATCATATTCATATATATAATAGATAAATAAAAAAAATAAATAAAAAAAAAATGGCTTCAGCATCTTTCCTCAAGTCATCGCCAATTCTTGACAAGTCGGAGTTTGTCAAGGGGCAGCAGCCCCTCCTCCGCCCCTCCGCGGTGGTTCCCGCCCGCTGCAACCCCATCTCCTCCTTCACCGTCCGTGCCACCTCATACGCCGATGAACTCGTCAAGACTGCAGTAAGTACTACTCCAACGCTTATATAGTAAATAAATGAGTAAACTGCAAAAACTACCCCTGTGTAATCTCGAAATAGCAAAAACCCCCCTGTGATAAATAAACTAGCAAAAACCTCCCCTGTGAAATTATTTAAATAGCAAAAACCCCCCTATGGAACTATTTGAGGGTTGACTTGATATAAAAAGACACAAATACCCCTGGAGTCTTGCAATTAATAAATTCTTATATTTTATAATATATTAATTATTTTATTTAAAAAATAATCAATTTAGTTGTTTACTATTTTTTTTAATTTCTAAACAAACAAATTAAAAAGAATAAATATACATTTTATATATATATATATATATATATATATATATATATATATATATATATATATATATATATATAAATACATTTTGAGGGACAATTTTGTCATTTCAAGTCTAAAAAATCAGCTAGGGGGGATTCTGCCTTTGACTAAATTTCACAGGGGGGTTTTTGCTAGTTTATTTATCACAGGGGGGTTTTCGCTATTTCAAGATAACACAGGGGTAGTATTTGCAGTTTACTCGTAAATAAATTGACAATATTTTTATATTTTGTCACTAAAATATATTGCATTCTACACCCCTGTATTTATTTTAATTGTAACCAAAGTCCCCATGTTATTAATATTATCACAAAAAGACCTCTAATGAAATTTATTTAGCAAACTACCCCTAGAAACTCATCATTAAGGATCAAAGGCGCTTTTATGGAGTAATTGACAATATTTATGTTTTGTCACTAATACTTTCTTTTGAGTTTATTGCAGTCAACACCATGTATTTTCTCTAATTATTAAGTAAGTCCATATATTATTAATATTAGCAAAAACTCCTTACAATTCAATTTTTTTAGCAAATTACTCATAAAAATTCATCATTTAGGACTAAAATGCTTATATTAATGGGTCTATTAGATATAACCCCCTTAGACATTCAAATAATAGGGGTAGACCCAAATTTATATTTGCCATTTTGATAAAAACCCAAACTTTTCTAAATTACATAAGTACCCTCAATCAAATTCCACAAATCACGTTACTTTACCTTTTGAAATAATATCAAATCCCACCCTATTTTCCCGTTAAAACACTATCCCCACAAAACCACTACCAAAAAATCTGCAAACCTCTCAAAACCAGAAATTTATACGGATCTCGCGGACGGTGCCGGGGCAATTAGATGAGGAAAGTACTTGCTCCTCGCCGGAGTCCGACGGAGACACCGTCCGCTGTGGTGCAGCGTCTTAGCAATTTTCCGGCGCTGGATTTCGCACAACGGCCTTTTCTCGTCTTTTCGAAAGCATTCATTGGAGAACTCCCACCGATCAGGCATAACCTTCCCAAATCCCTAAAAAATCATCAGATAAGTAACTCAATCAATAATCGAAAAAAAAACCAAAATTCCTCGTTACAGATCGAAGGATTCGATTAGCAAAAGCTCACGTAAGTATTCAGTTGCCGAACGAAACTGGAGAAATTGTTGTGCTTGAAATAGTTGGTCAGCAAATCTCTGGCAAACTCACGTAATTTGACCCAACGAAACCGACAATATACTAATAAACTATCCCACTGATATAATTTGACTATGGATCTCGTTAATCGACTATGCGTCGCCGTCACTGCTCCAATCTAGGGTTACTCAAATCTAGGATTACTCAAATATAGGGTTTTGATAATTCTTCGGCCCATAGTTGATTAACGAGATGCATAGTCGAATTACATCTGTGTTAATATACTATCCCATATCATTTAATAGACTATCCCACTGGTATAATTTTACTATGGATCTCGTTAATCGACTATGGGCCGAAAAATCATCAAAAACCTAGAATAATAATAATAATAATAATATATATGGAAACTGAATAATATGTTTGTTTGAAATACTAATCAATTAGGGTAATTTTCCTTATTATATGAAAACGATTAGGGTAAATAATAATATATATGAAAAAATAATAATATAAATGGAAACTGAATAATATGTTTGTTTGAAATACAAATCAATTAGGGTAATTTTTCTTATATCATGTAATAGACTATCTCATTGATCTAATTCGACTATGGATCTCGTTAATCGACTATGGATCCCGTATTATTCAACCAAATAGTATATTAATAATTTCAATATAGTACATTAATCTGCTATGATAGTATATTACGGTTATAGTCGTGATATGAAATTGTGTTACAAACAATACACCACTGAAATGACAAGAACATTGAGAACAAGACCAACGTAAAGTATTCCAACATAACCAATAAAATAGTACATTAATAATCTCATAATTTCAATCTAGGGTTTTGATAAAATACTTAAAACACATCATAACACAATCAAACCAATATGTCGAGTTAAAAAACTCTAGTACATTAATAATCTCATAATAGTATAATAAAATGATAATGGTAGTATCATATGGTATTCATAATAGTATACTATTGTATTACAACGGTTTAGCACTTAACCGACGTTACCGAGCCATTACATCGTAAACACCTCTTTATAGCAACCAACCCACCAAACATCGGAATCATGTCCTCATCGTCAGCCAAGATACATTCACCAACGCCTTCCAGCCTATATGTCATGCTTATATCCCACCCATCGAGTTGTGGCCACTTTGAAATAACAAATGCAACCAATGAACCGCGAGTAAACCCTTTCGAACACCTCTTTATAGCAACCAACCCACCAAATCTAACAAAATCCGTACAAAATTCGCCATCGATAAAACCTTGAATCATAATACGACATTAAAAATACAAAATACTAAAAAATATATTAATATGATCAAAAATAAACTTAAAATGCAAAATTCATACGATAACTTAAAAAGACTACAAAGTATATTTTAATGTACTACCCAGAGTCCTAAAATCCGCTGTTATAAACAAATAAATCAACTATCGACCGGGATCAGACACATGAACTCCACGACTGCGGACAGTTATTTCAATTACTACGTAAACCAACTACGACGTTCATATAAAATAACTCTGGTCCAGTATGCGTGAAAAATCCTTATCTAACTCTGTCAATCCTCTTCCGAACAAACATCATCCGCCAAAATTAACTATGTATATATGACGGAATAATTTTGTTAAAAAACGTTCTACATAATATAATCAAGTATCAACACACCTCTTAAAATTTCTAACCACCATACACGACGATCCTAGCCATTGAACGAAAAATAAATCGAAAAACGCATTCATACCCGGTTAAACAACGTCCAACAGATGAGCGCTCAATTCGATCCTATTTCCACGACGGTGCAGAAATCTTCAAAGATAAAAATCCCCTGGAACGGTGAAAGAGAACCTCCGAAAATATTATACACGATTTGGTATAACGGCCAATGATCTCACGTAATATTATTCCGTGATTTTAGGCAACGTATCAGCAAATCTCAAATCACGTATTAAAGGAATTAAATACCGTTTAAAAATAAACAAGGGTATTAAAGGAAAATTATATAATATATTTTGCCAAGTTGGCAAAATTGGGTCTATCTCAAAAAGTGGAAAAAAAATTGGATCTACCTCATTAGAAAATATGAACAAGGGGGTTATCCCTAATAAACCCTATATTAATTGACAATATTTATGTTTTGTCACTAATACTTTCTTTTGAGTTTATTGCATCCAACACCATGTATTTTCTCTAATTATTAAATAAGTCCCCATACTATTAATATTAACAAAAATCCTCCTATATATAATTCAATTTATTTAGCAAATTACTCCTAAAAATATCATTTAGGACCAAAATGCTTAAATTAATTGACAATATTTATGTTTTGTGTTACTAATACTTTCTTTTGGGTTTATCGCATCAACACTCATGTATTTACTTTAATTATTAAAAAAGTCCCCATCGTATTAATATTAGCAAAAAAAACCATGTAATTCAATTTATTTAACAAACTACTCATAAAAACTCACCATTTTAGGGGTTGACTGCCAAAACAAGTTGCATTATTATAGATGTGATAATCGACGTTGTCACTAAACACGATTACTAATTACTTTGATTTTTCAGAAAACGATCGCGTCTCCCGGGCGCGGAATTTTAGCAATGGACGAATCGAACGCGACATGCGGTAAGCGTCTAGCTTCGATCGGGCTCGAAAACACAGAGGCCAACCGCCAGGCGTTCCGGACCCTACTTGTGTCCGCTCCGGGGCTCGGCAATTACATCTCGGGTGCCATCCTCTTTGAGGAAACTCTCTACCAATCCACCGTCGACGGAAAAAAAATTGTCGACGTTTTGGCCGAGCAAGGGATTGTTCCCGGCATTAAAACCGACAAGGTGACCGTTTTTTCCTTTTTTTTTTTTTTTAAATTATAATTGTTGTTGTAATAACATAAGATTAATTTTTTTTATTTTTTTCTTTTTTATATATGGACATATAGGGTCTTGTTCCATTGGCTGGATCGAACGACGAATCTTGGTGCCAAGGTCTCGACGGATTGGCTTCTCGTTCCGCTGCTTACTACCAACAGGGTGCTCGCTTCGCCAAATGGTAAAATATTTATTTCCATCAAACACCATTACAATGAGTTTATTGTATTTAGTACCCCTATATTTTATCGAATCTTTAAAAAAAGTACTTATATCATAAATATTAGTAAAAAAACCCTTATATATAATGCATTTTTTAGCAAACAGTCCCTAAACGGTGCGCTTTCGGTGGTACGTAGTTTGCTAATAAAATTGAACCGTAGGACAAATTTTGCTAATAATTATAACACGTGGATTATTTCACAATTAAAGTAAATACAGTGGGTACTAATTGCAATAAACTCTTTTTATAATTCGAGAGCTAAGAATTTTGAAATTCATCGTAGGCGTACGGTAGTGAGCATTCCGAACGGTCCATCGGCACTCGCTGTGAAGGAAGCTGCATGGGGTCTTGCTAGATATGCTGCTATTTCCCAAGTAATATTTCATTACAACTATGTTTTTTTTTTCTTTTTTCGCATGCAATAATAAATAAATAAATTAAAAAAAAAAAGGGATTTAAAAAAAAATCATTTTTTTTCGATTTTTGTAGGACAATGGATTGGTTCCGATAGTGGAGCCGGAGATACTATTGGACGGTGAACACGGGATTGACACGACATTCGAAGTAGCACAAAGGGTGTGGGCGGAGGTATTTTTTAACCTAGCCGAAAACAACGTGTTGTTCGAAGGGATACTGTTGAAACCGAGTATGGTTACACCCGGAGCCGAGTGTAAAGAGAGGGCAACACCTCTACAAGTAGCTGATTACACTCTCAAACTCCTTAAAAGAAGAGTCCCTTCTGCTGTTCCTGGAATCATGGTATGTTTTTATTTTTATTTTTATTTAAAAAAAAAAAAAAAAGAAAAACGGGCTCACGAGTTTGATTTGCCGGCTCGACAAAAGCTTAAGATAAGTTATAAAATCAATTATGCGATGGACTAATGTATATATGTAATCCCTCGTTTGGTTTGCCAGAATGGGATTGATTAGCCAGGATAAGACTAGGGTAGAGATTGGAATGGAATTTCTGATTTCCGCCGATTCTGATCTGAATTTTTTTTGATTTTGGAACAATATTTTGCATTTCCGAATTTTTTTTGGTTCGGAATTCGAAAATATATGAGATCCCGATTTCCGGAAATATTCCGATCTTTTTTCGATAATTACACTTATAGTATGAATATTTTACTATGCATTTTATATTTTAGGTGACTAAAAAATTGAGAATTTTCCAAATGCTGCCGATTTCGATCGAAAATTTTGAATTTTAGAACAAGTTTCCTATTCCAATTTCCAATTTTGATTTTTTTTCGACATTTTTTTGGAACGAAATTGGAATTAGATTTTAATCATGATACATATGTATATGTTTGAACGTAGTTTTTGTCCGGAGGGCAATCGGAAGTGGAAGCAACCCTAAACTTGAATGCAATGAACCAAAGCCCGAACCCGTGGCACGTGTCGTTCTCGTACGCGCGGGCCCTACAGAACACTTGCCTCAAGACGTGGGGCGGAAGGCCGGAGAATGTGAAGGCGGCACAGGACGCTCTGCTCCTGAGAGCGAGCGCCAACTCGCTCGCGCAGCTCGGCAAATACACCGGCGAGGGAGAGTCCGAGGAAGCCAAGAAAGGAATGTTTGTTAAGGGCTACAGTTACTAATTAATAAAATTAATTATGTTTGTGTTTATTGAAATTGGTACAATTGTTGTTGGTTTTTATTATTGTAGTAGCTTATGATGATGTGTAATGAAGATGAAATTAAGGAGCTGCTTCTATATGCTTATTATAGAGCTTGTAGAATATTTTTATTTAATATTTTACTTCATTGTATTTTTTGTTTTGATTTATATCAAGGTATATTCTTGTCTCATTTTTTATTTGATGGAGTGTCAGCTTCACCATATGCATAAAACAAATACGGGAAAATTACCATTTTCACCCCTCAAGTTTTCACGGATTACAATTTGGTCCTCATGTTCATAAATAACAGATTTGATTCCTCATATTTCAAAATTTTAACACCTTTGATCATTTTCGTCAATTTACCGTTAGTCTGTCAGTGATAAATAAGCATACACTTGACTCTGTTAGTACTAACGGAAAAATTCAAGAAAATGACTAAAAGTGTTGAATTTTTTAAACTTGAGGGACCAAATATGTTTTTTATGAACATGGAGGACCAAATGTATAATCCGTGCAAAGTTGAGGGATGAAAACGGCAATTTTCCCTTCGATTTCATGGATGACAAAATTCGTAAGACAAACTCCGAAAGCAACGCCTCTGTCCACTCCATGTTTGCTAAACATTCTCTTCCAAGGTAAAAACCTGGTTCAAGAATTAATTAAATTGTCTATTTTTTTACGAATTTGGCCGCAAAAATATTCGAATTCGTACGAACAAGTTGTTCATTTCACTCAATTTTTTTATTTAATTAATTAATTAATTAATTTATTGTTCTTTTTTTGCGAAAAGAAAAGCAATAATGCAATATAACAAAAATGGTGTAAGATTAAAAGGGTTGGCTGAAAGTTCCAACGTTTAATTACGCGCACTCGTCGAATGCCCGTCTAAACTCTCTACGTGCTGAACGGTAAAAAGTTTCCAGTCAGATGATTTTTTTCATTACATTAAACCAATTGAAAAAATTACAACCTACTAAATGATAGATCTATACATTTGCAGAAATTGTGACACAAATCTGATGATGATAGTCAAATGATGTTTCGTGTTTTTCTCTGACATAGTTTTCTTTACATTGAACATGCACCCGAACTTTGGCATTGAGATAGCCACAAATCGATGTGTTCGATGATTTGTTTCCTTACCGTATTAACTGCGTCCGGTGAGCTGCAATTCTTTGCATCGCCTGAAAATATAAATACGAAATTGAAATAAAATAAGTTTACACAAAATTTAAAAAAATGAATCATGATTTAAGAAAATAAAATAAATAAATAAATCTTACCTTCAGGAACCAAAGGAGACTGGGGACAGCCGCGCATGTCGGTTCCATGTCCACAGTTATGACATTTTATGATGTACGAAGGCACTGAAATTAAAATCGAATAAAATCAATATTTTCGTAATCGAGATAAATTATTACATTCGATTTATAGGTCATAGGTTTCTAATTAAATATATATTCTATAAATACAATATTGGGACTTACTCTCGGGCGACGAAGTCTGTTTCGATGCATGTCGCCACGGGTCCTGTGATCCGTTTGTGAAGATTATTTTCGACCCTGCCCGTTTATAAATATTCGACGAATTAAATAAGTTATATTCCCATAATATACGAATTCGAAGATAAAATAATTTTTTTTATTTTTTTTACCAGCAATTCTTTTGCCTCCGTAGTATAAATTTGTCGCATTAACATCAGGAAATACGCCTTCCCCGAATACATTTTTACAGAGATCCAAATGGTACCTGCCGTTAACAATTGCTCGATTTGAATTAATAATCAATCATCGTTTATTACGTATAGTGTATTTATTTACATGTAGATTTTTTTTTACCTAGTATCGACTTTTGAGGAGCGAATACTGTCGTTTGAAGGTGCGACTTGAAAATAAGCAACTTCTGTACAGACTTGGAACCACCATAATCGATCGGAACTGCCACCTGTCAATGTTGTTTTCTTCAAATGTTGTTGGTCGTATGTCTCGACACTGACACCCAAACTCTTTACATAGTACTCCTTTACGTATGTAGCATATGCTTCCTGCAAGCAGAAACATCGTATAATTATCAAAAATCGAGGTTAAAAAAATAAAGGGCAGAGCTTGAATATATTAAATTGTCGTGAATTCGTGATAGATTGCGTACTCAGAAATGCTTACCACTAGATCTTTTCCGGCTTTCTTTGCTTCGATTAGAGGGATGCATACTTTATCGGGATTTCCATATTGGAACTGCAAATAAATAATCGATCAAGAAAACGAATAAAAAAATTAATAATAAAAATAATATATTAAAGAAGCTATAGCCTATATATATTGTCACATACCGCTGTAACTGCAGCATCTGCCAGAAAATACATGAAATCACCGTCGTTTTTTAGCTGAAAGAAAAATAAATAACGATTAACGATCAAATTCCAGAAACTGATCTAAGTTTCCATACAAAACGAAAAAAAAAAAGGATTGAGTTTTATTTTACTTGGGCGGCGCTAAATAACGTCTTTAGTGCTTTTCCATTAGATTCGAGTTTCTGATCAACAAGACGAGTGATTTCTTGCAAGACAGATTTGCACTCGGGGCCCGCAGATTCACCTATCTGCGCATATGAAAATCGTGGGGAAAATGCTTAGACTAATCGTAAAGTACTTAAATAACTTAACGAACAAAAAGTACTTTTCTTGACCTGCTTATCGAAATCCGTGAAATTGTAAACTGCTTCGACAACTGCAGAGCTAGCAAGACTTCCACAAGTAAGGTGAGGAAACTTGAGACGGAACCATGCGCTAAGTGCTCCCGAATACGAAACACCAAACACAAACCATGGATTATCGATATTCGATCTTTCGAGCTTCAAATTCAACGACTCCTGTGTAAAAAAATAAAAAGAAATTGCATAATAAACGAATGAAGAATTCCAAGATTTTGGTCAATCGTCAAAATTTCAGTGCTTGCCTGATAATACTGTCTGAAAGCAGCCAAATCGAAAAGTGCTTGTTTCGACGAAAGATATCTCAGATTCTCTGTGGTGGACGAATTAAAAGGGGTGCTCTTTCCATAGTAACGATGCTCGAGAGAAACGACAGCTGCTCCAAACTTCTTCGCCAAAACCTGTTATTAGAATTTCAAGATTTTTAAAAAATATTTTCACAACTACAAAACTTACGCACAATTCTACGGCACATCAAAATACGCGACTAGAAAAAACAAAATTACAGCCAAATAATCATTGGTGATTCCACTGCAAGCAGATTCTCCGCATATCTTGAGAAATATCGGTCCATTGGGTGTCTGAAAATCGTCAAGATATTCATAATACCGTTGCCGAAATTGACGATGATCCTGCAATAAATAAATAAATAAATAAATAAATAAATAAATAGATAAAAATACAATTATGTTAAAGTAGTATACGGTATATAATCAAACATGCAAGACTTGATTTTTTTTTTTCAGGTATTGAAGCTAAAATGGCCGCGCCCAATTTTCAAAACCAGAAATCTCAAATATAATCCCGCAAATAAATCAATCAATCATGAATTTCAATTAATTGCTACTAAATTAAACCCAGGATTACTATTTCTAACATAATCAGCAAACAGGCGACGAACGACTGTAGAAATTCAAAAATTAAATAAAAAACTAATCAGAGAAAAACAGATGAAAGAGAAAACGGACATACGTAAGGGGAGAAGTGGTCGAGGGTTTGATTGAACCAGTGCTCTTCATTCGTCAAGTAATTTTTGTTGCTGGACGCCGGCAGCCGCATAAGCCGCGGCGGCGACGCGCCGATCGACGCAACCGTCGTAATTAACAGGAAAACGGCGATATACAACGCCGGCGAAGGTGCGGCGAGCTTCATCGTGTTGTAATTTCTACAATCGGAATTTTTTTTTAGTGGTAGTAGTGCTCTTTTACGACAAAGAATCCTCACTTCATTTTGGGTTTCTCCTTTTCTTTTGTCGTTTTCCCGATTTGAATATGTTAATTAAGTGTTAAATTACAAAACAGTCCCTCTTGTTTGGTAGTTACAAACACCTCTGAATATGGTCAATTTACGAAAAAAATTCTCTTGTTTGGATAATTAAATCTACCCCTTAACTATGATTTCTCCTTACATCTCCGCCCTTGTGGTGTCAAATTCAGCATAATCATTTAGATTTCGTAGAATGTGCTCTAGTTTGTACTCGTTTTGTGTAAAAATACAGTTTCTGATCCGCCACAATCTGATGTATACAAGCCAAAAAACACATATTATGATCATCTTGCTTCAAAATGTAGAGTTCGAATGGGATAAAACGAGTGCAAAAGTGATAATATTTCATATAATCTCGAAGATTTCACTAAATTTGAAACCGCAAGGGTGGACGTGTAAGAAGATTTATAGTTGAGGGGATTGTTGTAATTACCCAAACAGGAGGGGTTTATAATTTAACTATACCTCAAGGGTGATTGTAATTACCCAAACGAGAGAGGGGTGGTAAACGAGCCGAGCCGGCTCGCGAACTCGACGAGCTGGCTCGAAAAAAGCTCGAACTCGAGCTCGAGCTCACGAGCTCGAGCTCGAGCCCAAAATTAGTTGTTCGACAGCTCGCGAGCTGCCTTCTATTTTTTTTTATTTTTTTTTACATATATATATATATATATATATATATATATATATATATATATATATATATATATATATATATATATATATATATATAAATAT